GGGGAGGGGGGCGAGGAAGAGTGTGCGGTATGCCCGCGCGAGCGCGAGCGCAAGCCCATCGCCGTACCGGACAGTGCTGATGTCGAAGGGAGCCCAGCTGCCGTTGGACAGGCAGCGCTGGAGCTCATGGGCCTCGAGCTGGCCGGAGCGGTTGGAGTCGGCGGCCGAGAAGTAGCCCCAAAGCTGGTCGTGGAGGCTCATGGCAGGAGCGGGGTAGGGCTGGTGGTGGACAACGGGCGGGGGACCGTGGTGGTGGACAACGGTGGGGGGGCCATGGTGGTGGACGACAGTGGGGGGGGGAGCCGCGGCGTGGACGTGCACGGTGCGGGTGGGCGGGCGGTGGACGGTGACCTTGACAGAAGGGCGGAACATGGTTTCGAGAAAAGAAAAGGGAGGGGGAAACGAAACGGGGAAATGGACCTCTTTTCGTTGTGCTTCCAGGGCGTTGTTCCCTGGGCTCGGTGAACGGTGGCTCTTATATACGCTGCGCCCGGGCGGGGGAGCGAAGGTGGGGTCGGGGGGGGGGGGGGGGGGAGGGAGGGAGATCTCCCCCACGTCCCCGCCATCTGCGCCGCTCAGCAGGGGGGTCGCGCCCTGCCCCCTCCCGCTCACGACGCCGGGGACGGGAGAGGGCGAGAAAGAAAGAAAGAGTGGACGCCATTTGCCACCGGAGGACCGGGAACATGCCGGGCTCTCCTCTCGACACATGCCACCGGTTCCTCGCCGCAGGTTGCCACGGAGTCCGGGACGCCCGGAAGACCAAAGGGGCAAAGGGAGGCGACAAAAAGTGGCCCCCGGGCCCTCCGCCGCACAGCGACCACACAGGATGGGCAGCCGGGTGCAGAGGGGGGGGGGGAAGACGACGAACTTGCCGACCCACGACCGGGAGCCCGGAGGTGGAGGCACGCGACGGTGGGGGCGGGGCCGGGCCGACGCCGGACCGCCGGGTGGCCATCAAGCCGGACAGCGCTCGCGGGGGGGCCACCCATTGGCCAAGGAATAATATCCCCCCCTCCCCCCGCTCCCCGCGCCTCGGGCCAGGCGGGGTGAGTAAGCAGCGTCGGGGCGGGAGGGGCCCGGACGGGCAGCTGGCCGGGCCACTGGCAATGCGGCGGGGACTTGGCCAGTCGCGTCGGTCAACATGCATTCCAACCGAACCGCAGCCAGCCCTCGCTAACTGCCTCGCGCCAGGATGGAGCCCCAGCGCCAAGAGCAGGCAAAGCAACACAATAAGGGACGGACGGGGAAACGCCCGGGGGCGAGAACAGCAACGCCGCCGGCAGGATCGCCTCCCGGAAGGTCGCGCCCCCCTCTCGCATCAGCTGCACGGCCCTGCCTGCGCTCCCGTTGGGTCTCTCCTTCTCCCGGCGCG